TTATGCAAGACTTGACTATTAACATTTTTTTTTTTTTTTTTTTTTGGTGTGTTTCAACTATTAAGCAAGCACCCACTAGTTTTGAAAATACGACCCTAGCTCTCATTCCGCTAAAGGGTAAATGATAGGGTCCTATTTTCAAAACTAGGACTGAGACAAGTATAATTGATATATCTCTTTGAACAAAAAGGTAAATTCGACCTTTAGCTTCTAAAAAGAACCATAAATTTTTTTTTTTTTTTTTAAATCTTTCTCCCTTCATTTTCATACATGTGACCACATTGGCGGCCAAATTTTACTGCTCTGGACATGTTGAATTTAATAATTTTAATTAGATTTTAAGATTATTAGGTAAAAGGGAATATTTTTAAAGTTTTTTTTTAGGTAAAAATAAATTTTGCAAAAATTTGATGACATTTAAAAGATTTGGGATAATATTTATATTCTTAGTTTTAGTTTAAAGGATAAAAATGTCTTTTAATAGTTGAACAAAAATCTATTTAAAAAACCACTGGGTGCTTAGTAATTATATGAAATACATGGGGGTTAAGCAAAATTTTCCCTTTTTATTGAAAATTAGAGGAAGAAAAATTGTTGGCCATTCAATTTATTCTATTATTTGATTGAAATTGTCATAACAAAAATTATAAAAGTTGATGTGTGAATAATGTGATAGTCTTTAGTTGAGCTTTCAAATTTATGGTAAACGAAAAGAACAAAAAAGGTTGGACTATCAATTGATTGAGATTGTTACGACCAAAATAGTAATTGACTTGTGATTTTAAATATCAATTGATATATAGATAAATATAATGGATTAAAAGATTATCAGAGTTTTCTTATGATATATAAATTTAATGTTTTGATGTCAAGTAATTAATTCCCTGCATGTGTGTGAGTGAGTGCATATATATTTATAGTAAATTGATTTAAATCAATAATTACTATCATATCATCATCAGTGATCCTTTTTCATATAAAATTTTTAGAAGCCTAATAATTTCTATTAATATTTTAGCAAATCAGTTACAAAAAACAAAACTAAAATTATTGGCCGTTCCATTTATTCCGCCACTTGATTGATGTTGTCATGACTTTAAAAAAAAAAAAAAAGTTGACCCTTTAATAAAAAATTAAAAAATTCACTTTGTTCTTCTATATAATTTGATTAAAAATGAAAAATAAAAAAATTAATCATTTTTGTTTAATATTACTTAATAAATGACCTTTCAAGTTTGAGGTAAACTAAACAAACAAAAATTATTGTCTCATTAATTGATTGAGATTGCTATGACCGTATTAAATAGTATTATTAGCCGTCCAATTTACTCCTTTAGTTGATTGAGATTGTCATGACTACAAATACAAAAGTTGATAGAGATTTCAAATTTAGTTCTATATAAATCAACACAAAAAGGGGAATAAAGAAAAACTTGAAGAGAGTAAACAAGCAAATTGATAGGTTTTGAGAGAGAGAATTGTTATAATGGAAAGGGTGTTAATTAAGTTGTCATTTTGGGTTGTATTAGTTTTGGTTCAAACATCTGGATTCAATAGTTGTTTGGAGAATGAGAGGATTGGTCTGTTAGATTTAAAGTCCTTCATAAAAGCAGTTAGTGTTTTTCAAACGGAAGAAATTCTTGTTTCATGGGTTGATGATAAAATGTCTAATTGTTGTGATTGGGAGGAAGTTCAATGCAACGCCACTACTGGACGTGTCATCAAACTTTCCCTTAATCATAGAAGGCAATTCAGTCCATATGACTCTTTTGATAGACATCCAACTCTAAATTTATCCTTGTTTCATCCTTTTGAAGAGTTGAAAAGTCTTTATTTATCTGATAATTACTTTGGAGGTTGGCATGAGAATAAAGGTAGATATATAATTTAAGTAGTTAGCTTAAAATATATGCTCCAATTAAATTACTTTTGCAATAGTTTAGCAATATATATATATATATAGTCATTTTTAAAACTTTTTTCATAGTTTACATTCAGTATATGGGCCATACAAAAAATTTATGTCATTGTTGACACCCTTAATTAAATTACAAAGCATGCTTATTAATTTGTTAATTAATTGTAAAAGTATTGTTTTGATGTATTAAACAATTTCTATTTTGTCTTCTATTTATAGGTCAATAGTTTTACCTAAAAAATTGATTATATAAGCTATGCAGATTATTATGAGCTATATATGTATGTTGATGCATTAATTGTTTTTCTTTGGATAATGAATAAATATGTTGAGTAAATAATAGATATATTGAGTCAATAATGTGTTGACATTACCTTTACAGTATATGATGGCTTCAAGTGTTTGAAACAACTCAAGATCTTGGATCTTAGTTACAATTACTTCAACGCAACTCTTTTACCACACTTGAATAACCTAACTTCACTTACCACTTTGAATCTTGGATGGAATAAAATGGGAGAAGGTCTCAACTCGGCCAAACAAGGTATATATGTTTTAAGTATGATTCTTTAATTTCTTATTAATTAATCTTAATCTTTTTATTTCTTATTTAAAAAAAAAATAACTCTTTTTATTGGTGCAGGTATAGGGGCATTTTTTTTTTTTTTTAAATTTAGTAATTATTGGATACATAATGTGTTTTTAAACTAATGACGTTTAAATTTATATTTACTAATATACTCTTATATTAAATATATTAATAATTAATAATATTTCTCAATGGAAAGTTGTATAGTTGATGAGTGAAATATTATAGAAAAGAATTTAAGTGATAAAACCAAATGAGAATTTATTATATATAATATATTATATATATATATATAGGGTGGGTCAGAGAAGAACGGTATATCTATTTTCTAATTGTGGTGAATTAATAGATTTATAAGAGAAGACTAAAGGAAATGACATTACAATTTGTTCAATTTTATTTGGGTAAAAATCACTGCTCGAATATGAAAAGTTTTAACCAGTATATCAAATTACTACCATCTTTTTATTACTGCTCTAAAATCTTTGAGAAAATATGATTAATTTTTCTCTTTCAATTATTGATTCTTGTATATGACTTTCTAACTTCTATTTATCTTTTTTTTGTTTATTATTATTATTTGTGTAGGTTTAGCAAATTTGAAAAACTTGAAAGTCTTAGATTTAAGTTTTAATCATATAAATGGATCTCTATAAAGTCTAGGTACCTCCCATGAAGCAATTTTTATTTTTATTTTAATTATTCAAAGATAAAAATTCAAATTTATATTGGTATATAGAAACTTCACCTTGATATTAGAGGATTTTCCTTGTAGATATTATTAATCATTTTCTTGAGATATATTTTTTAAATAGTTGAATGAATTTATGATATTTGAATTGGGTTCATTTTCCTAAATTCTCTTCCAAGTAATTAAAATTTCAAGTTTGATGGCATATAATAATTTACAATTTTTATATATAATGACATGATTGATATATATATAGTGACAAATCGGAAGATAATATATGCTCATAATATAGATAAAATTCTAAATGTTCATGATAGAGTGCCCAAATATTTTAATTAAAGATAATATTTTCTTAAAATCAGTTTCCTTTTCTTAAAATTTTCCATCAATCTTGCTTTTAATTAACTCTAAATCTCTTTTATTGTTTGACACAGGTTTAGCAAATTTGACAAACTTAAAAGTATTAAGTCTCCGTGATAATCAAATCAACAACTCTCTATCAAGCCTAGGTATACAATATCTATTAAATTTTTTACTATCTATGCTCAATTGATATTTGAGAGATGTAGTCAATCTTACTTTTTTATGTAATTTAATTCTATCTGCTTAATTTTTAAATTATATTTCTTCTTTTTCCTTGGTGCAGGTTTAGCAAATTTGACAAACTTGAAAAGGTTGGATCTAAGTTATAATCAAATCAACACTTCTCTACCAAGTTTAGGTATGTAGCATTTAAAAATTTGCAAAAAGTTGCGTTTTATGCTATAATTAGAAGGCATTACATTCACATAACTTTTATTTAAAAGATTTTATATAGGCAGTTTAGTAGTATGGTAATACTATACAAAGATTGAATATTACTTCACTGTCCTAATAATAATAATAAAAGAGGAGTAATACTACACATACATTATTTTCATACAACATTTCCCATACAATATTATGTGGCAAGATATGATTGATTAATTTAAAGTTAAAATTAAACTTTTACCCAACCACATCTTGCCACATAATATTGTATAAGAAATGTTGTATGGAAATGATGTATATGTAGTATTATTCATAAAAGAGAGTAGGATATATTACCAATTAAAGAGATCTGCTGCCACCACCATTCCTTCCTACACAGCCGTCGCCTCCTTGGTGACAATCCCCTTCGCTGTCGCCCCTTCCTCTTCAGCCTCCATACCCACCACTGTTGTCATAACCTCCACCACCGTCCAGTTTGCACCAAGCCTAGAATAGCACCAAGCCAAGTGCGATTCCAGCAATCAATGTACCCTTAAACCATAACCACAACAAACAAAAATCTTCAAACTAAACATTATATTAACCCAACACAAGCAACTAGTGCACCCCAAAAAACCATCAAATTCACCTTGAAAATGAACAAATCCATGAAAACATTAAACTAATAGTGAGAGAGGGAAAACAAGAATGAAGAGAAAGAAGAAAATAAATTCTGCTAGAGTTCGTAGTGGTTTCGAAAGATGATGAAGGTGGGGCGCTAGGGTTGTTGGAGGTTGTTAGATTTTGGGGATGAGGGAAGGTGCGCAGCAGGTGTGAATTATGAAAGAATATTGGGGGTGGAGGATTTTGTGGCGGTGGGGTGTGGAAGAAAGATAAAAGGGGCTGGAGCAATTTTTTTTAATTATATTTTTTTAAAATTTGATCTTTTTTTTTTCCTAAATTATTAAAAATTGGTTATTTATTAATTTATACATTTTTTTTTATAAAACTTAACTTTTCTTTTATTTAATAACCTGATTTTTAATAAAAATATAATTTTTAATAGAAATTGAAGATAGAAGTTTAAGTGACTAATTCCCAAGTTAATGAATGTAATTACCATTTATTTGTGTTTTAGGGCTGTAAGTAATATTAACTTTATAATAAAATTTGTGCAGACTAGACTGACAATAATGTCTTTTAACCATTAAAACTAACGTAAGAATTTTAATAATGGGTGGGAAAATGTAGATTGGCCAAACTTTGGGGTGAGAAAATGTCATTCAACCTATTAAAATATTTGAAAAACTTAGGGAAGTAAGAAGTTAGATCAAGTACATATATAAAAATGAATGAGTTAATAAAATAGATGACATTACAATCACATAACAAACATATCAATAGATAGTTTAGTAGTTGGCCCAAGGCCCATCAAATAAGTAGTAAGAGTTATATTTTACTTTCTCTCTTCTTCATGCAGGTTTAAAATATTTGAAAAACTTGGAAGAGTTGAGTATGATGGAAAATGGACTCAGCGGAGCTCTTAATTCACTAGGTAACCAATATTTGTCAAAGTTACAATCATTTGGTGTTTTCTACCTGCTTTTCAAATTCTATTTCTTCTCTTGTTTTTTGGTTTTGTTTTTATTTGTGCAGGTTTAGCAAATTTGACAAACTTGAAAAGCTTGGATCTAAGTTATAATCAAATCAACACTTCTCTAGCAAGTTTAGGTATGTAACATATTAGGTATGCTATAAATATCACACTTGAAAAAAAGTATAATTACAAGTACTCTTGCATAAAATTAAAAATTAAACAGATGACATTACAAACATATCAATTAATTTATTTAAAAGATTTTATATAAGTAGTTTAGTAGTATGGTACTACTATACAAAGATTGAAATATTATCATTCGCATGATTACTTCATTATCCTATTTTCTCATCCAACTGTCTCTTGATGCAGGTTTACAAAATCTAAAAAACTTGGAAGAGTTGAATATGCGATGGAATGGGATGGACGGTTCTCTTACTTCGCTAGGTAACATTAATGACAACCAATATTTGTCAAAGTTTTAGATCGAAATATTTTAATAATCTTATCCACTGCCAAAATACTTTAAAACCTTTAATTTAAATATTTTAATATTGAAAAATTTTATAATAACTTGAACTTTTAAGTCTAAAGTGGTTTTCTGAAAAATCATATCAAATTACTTGTAATTTTAATTGTTGGACCCAATTAATCTTTGAGAATACATAATTATCTCATTTTTTCTATAATTTCCTATTTGATTTTTAAATTCTATTTCTCTTTTTCATTGGTGCAGGTTTAGTAAATTTGACCAATTTAAAAAGATTGGATTTAAGTGATAATCAAATCGCCAATGCTAGAGGTATGAAAAATAAAAAAATTGCAAAATTTTCTTTTAATGTTAAAATGAATAATAGCACATTTATAATTGCACCTTTATTCCAAGTACTGCTTGCATGATATGTGGATAAACAATAATAAAAAAATGAATTAACTAAACAAACTTATAAAATGAATAAAGTGACAATTACATAGCATGTCTATCAAATCAATATACCTTGAAGAGTTTGTATAGACCAATAGTATAGTATTACTCATTAAACTATGTTTCATTGTATTTGCTAGTTGGCTCAAATAAACTATGTTATTGGAGAGTATGTTTCATTGTATTACTCATTAAACTATGTTTCATTGTATTTGCTAGTTGGCTCAAATAAACTATGTTATTGGAGAGTATTTTTGTGTTTTAATATCTAATTCTTTCTATTGGGATAGGATTATTGGGTAATAGTAATTTATATAGATATAAGACAGGGTCTATTAAATAAACATATCAATTTATGTAGAAGAATTTATATACATGGTTTAATAGTATGGCACTACCCTACAAATTAAGATTGGAATATTATTATTTGCATGATTAGTTGATCAAATCACTTCATTGTATATGAGTAGTTGGCTCAAGGCCCCTAATACAAAAACAATGTATAGTTTGATCTTTCTTTTGTCATCCATTTATCTCTTGATGCAGGTTTAAAAAGTTTGGAAAACTTGGAAGAGTTGTATATGGGATATAATGTAATGGGCGGTGACTCTCTTACTTTAGGTAAAATATTCATTGTTTTAGTTGTTGGCCTCAATTAATTTTTGAGAACAATTCTATGATTTCCTATGTGATTTTCAAATTATATTTCTTCTTTTCATTGGTTCAGGTTCAGCAAATTTGACAAATTTGAAAATACTGGATCTACGAAGTAATCAAATCAACAACTCTTTGGCAAGCCTAGGTATGTAAAATCTAAAATTTTGAAAAAAAATTCTTTAATTTTATGTTAAAATAAATAATGACACCCTTATAATTCAACTTTCATTCCAAGTACTAATTGCATACTACGTGGATAAATGACAATAAAACAATCAATTAGGAAGACAATGTAAAATAAATAGCATGACAATTACTTAACTACAACTAGTTGGCTCATGTAAACTAATTGAACCTTCATCTGAAAGAGTAATTGGAGGGTGATCTTTGTATCTTAAACTCTAACCCGTTTCTCTTGACTAAACTTTAGGAAATAGAACTTCTTTTGGGCACCTCCCAAAAAAAAAACAAAAAACAAAAATGTTTGTCTTCTATTTTTTTAGTCTATAAAACAACTATAGTGCCCTTAATATATTAATTTTGACATTTTTGTACTAAAAGTAAGGGTGTTTCAATACTTTCGGAATCAATTAAAACTAATTGATCTTTAAATGGTAAATTGAATTGACCTCAACTATATGTATCCATTTCTTATTATCAATGTTTTGTTAATTTTTTTTTTTTTTATATGATTCTAAAATTCCCTTTATAATCGCACACCTATCTGTGTATGAGTGTTTAACCTTTTATTTTTATCTATTTGATCCCCATTTTTAGGAATATGTGAATTGAAGAAATTGGCTGAATTGGGTCTCAGTTTCAATAGTTTCGATGGTCACCACTTAAAATGCCTAAGCAACTTGACTTATCTCAAGCTTCTTGATCTTTCATCCAATCAATTAAGTGGGAAGTACTTATCATCTATTATTGCTGACCTCACATCTCTTGAATATTTGTCGCTTTCCGATAACAATTTAGAAGGTTCCTTGACTTATGATATGTTTCAACCTACAAGTGAAAATCGGTTTCAAACATATCCATTGAAGGTTCTCAACTTATTGAATTGCAACTTGGATGCCATACCTGGTTTTCTTTTATACCACTACAATCTACGATATGTTGACCTCTCTGATAACAAATTGGTTGGAACTTTTCCCACTCGGTTGTTACAAAATAACACCAGATTACAAGTTCTACGTTTAAGGAATAACTCATTCTCAGGAATCCTTCAAGTGCCCAACTCTAAGTGCAATTTACTTCATCTAGATATTGCTTACAACAATTTCACAGGTCAGTTGCCCGAGAATATTGGTACAATTTTGCCTAAATTGTTGTATATAGACATGTCAAGGAATTGTTTAAAAGGTAATATTCCTTTTTCAATGGGTGAAATGAAAAGACTTAGTGTTCTGGATTTGTCTAGCAATGATTTTTCAGGAGAGTTACCTGATCATTTTGTTAATGGTTGCTTCTCATTAGTATTACTAAGACTATCGGATAACAATTTTCATGGGCAGATTTTTCCTAGACAAATGAACCTAACTCAATTGCAATGGTTATACTTGGATAACAACAGCTTTAGTGGGAAGATTGGAGATGGGCTCTTGAATGCAACTTCTTTATTTTTCTTAAATATCTCCAACAACAAGGTATCTGGTAAAATTCCTTCTTGGATTGGCAAATTTTCATATCTTGCTTTTCTTTTAATGTCAAAGAATCTTTTAGAAGGTACTATTCCCATTCAACTAAACAATCTCAAAAGCCTTGAAATGCTAGATGTCTCTGAAAATAGGTTGTTTGGATCCATAGCAAGTGATTTTAATCTTTCATCGGTGAGCTATCTTTACATGCAAAAGAATGCTCTGAGTGGATCAATTCCAAATTCATTGTTCGAAAGCTCTAACTTGATTACACTTGATTTGGGAGAGAACAAATTTTCTGGAAATATCGATCCGCGTTGGTTTAATGATCATTCAACTCTAAAGTTTCTTCTTTTGTCAGGCAATCACCTACAAGGCCATATTCCTAACCAATTGTGTCAACTAAGAAACCTAAGTCTCTTAGATCTTTCACACAACAGACTCAATGGATCAATACCTTCATGCTTTTCTAATTTGACACTCTGGAGTATGACAGGAGAGATTGATTCAAAAGGTTTCAGTACATGGTTTTCTTGGTCTATTGGTTGTGATGCACTAGGTGTTTACCACTATGATTCATCTATTTCATTTGTTACGGAGGAAGAATCTAGTAGATCGACAAATCCAGAAGTAATCTTGGAAGTAGAATTTACCATGAAAAATAGATTTGAGTCTTACCAGGGTTATCCTCTTGAAAAGGTTGCTGGATTGGATTTGTCAAACAATGAATTAACTGGTGAAATCCCGTCAAAAATTGGAGACCTCCAAGGAATATTAGCATTGAATTTGTCTTACAATTTGTTATCAGGACCTATTCCAAAGAGCTTTTCCAATCTGAAAGAGATAGAGAGCCTAGACCTTTCCCACAATAATTTAAGTGGCCAAATACCTCCACAGTTAACTCAATTAAATTATTTGGAGGTCTTCAATGTGGCACACAACAACTTATCTGGATCCATTCCTAATCAAGCTCAGTTCGCAACTTTTCATGAAAGCGATTATGAAGGTAATCCTTATCTTTGTGGTCAATTAATTAAGAAAAGTTGCACTAATGCGCCAATACCACCACCTCTAGCATCCATTGAAGAAGAAGATGATAACGAATCTGTTATTGACATGGTAGCATTCCGCTGGAGTTTTGTTGGATCATATACCACAACTATAATGGCCTTAATAATGATCCTTTGGATCAACCCACATTGGCGTAGGTTATGGTTGTATTTCATTGATATATGTATTGATTTTTGTTTTTAGTGGTTTTTTTAAGTATGTTTAGCATTGATTTTGATATAAGTCATACTAAGTTAGATAACAATGTAATTTTCAAGTATAAGCAGTGAAGAAGCTATTAGTGGTTGAATACATTTCATTCCAATTATTTTTATATTTATTTTGATGGAAACAATTATTTTTATATTGTTAATTTGGTTTGCACAGTATGAGTCCAGAAGAGAATTCCGAGAATTTTAATTAATTGCATTTATGACTGAGTTTAAGTTTATATGTGGAAGGTCTACGTGTTTTGTTTACACATTTCAAGGTTTTTTTTTCCTATTTACTTTAGAAACTTTAGTAAATATTTTTGCCTTCAAGTTTATAAAAAAATTAATCTCAAGAAATATGAAATTAAATCAATAGTAAATTTACAGTTATTACAGATATTTAATTGGTTTGCTCCAACTGGGCGGACAAAAGTTTACAGTTGTGACAAGGAGAGATGGATACCCAGGCTTGCATTAAGTGTATTGACTTAAAATCTAGAAGTTGTGAAATAATATAGCTTATATAAATTAATAAAAGAGTCTTTTATTAAAAACCAAACTCCATTAAAGAAATATTGGAATTTTAAAATAAACTTCAAATGTTAAGTAAATTGCCCGACTTTTAAGTAAATTGGTATGTGACACTCTAAGAAAGCCCCTCTCTTCAAATATGAAAATAGAAAAAGTAACTCCAAGCAATCACCATATTTTATATATTACATACTAATTAGCTTTATCAAACTGGCAAGCAATGACATGTACCCATAAAATCGAACACGACATGTACTTTCTTAATCTTTTTCAACAAAAATTACATGAGCAAAAGACACTTCTTTAACAATCTTATTTAGTGCACTGAAAGGGTTTTCCATAAGGAGAAGATAGGTTTTGTTAGGAGTAGTGTCAATTTATATATACAGCTATTAGAAAATATCGCTTTTGATAAAGGTTAGTAGTGGATAAGGATCATAAACTTTAGTATATCATGGAAAATTACTAGTTTTAGAATAATTTATTCTTTGTTCTTTTGCATTTTTAGTTTTATCCATATAATAATTATCTTTGATCCTACTCAAAAGTGGGTATTTTTATTAAATTAATCTACAGTATTATCTGAGACATGTATATTTTTATTCAATAATTAGGTTTTATCTATAAATTGTTCATGTGTTGATATCATCATCACTATGCTGTCCTATATGACAGAAATATTGACAAGATGTTTTACTGTTCAATCAATGATTAAATTTTAAAATCCAAATGGTTCTCAAAGGAAAAAATATTTGAAAAATGAGAGGAAAAATAAGGAAATATTAGGTTGTATTAGGTTAAAATGGCAAGTGTAGTAAGTTAGAGACGTTGGTCACTTGCTGTATAATTCCCTCAAATTTGGAAGAACAATAAAACTCTTATTGTTACTCCTTTTAAATTTAGGTAGTACTACAAAGCGGATATCAATCTTTAGAAACTTTTTATAGTATTTTAGTCACTAGAAAAAATGTAATAAATGGAATTAATGTATTTAGGAGATTTTTTTTTCTGAAAAAAAAAAAAAAAAAAGGATAAAAGTTTGAGTACACAGAAAATGGCAAAAAAACCATGGAGTGCAAGTACTTTAAAGAAAAATTTAAAGATATAAAATAGTTATAAATCATATTAAAAAAATACTTAAAAATTAAAAAGAACTGCATATAGTATTATAAAATAAAAAAATTTAAGCAATAAAAAAATCAAGAAAAATTTATTAATTCTATAAATAACATGTGACCATTTATCCAGACTTAGCCAAAAACATGCTATTATGTCTTTGTCTACTTCTTAAGGTATTAGGCTTTTCAAATTCATATAAATAATTAATTTTAATTTTGTTTGAAAAACGGAATTTCATTATAATACAAATGAAAGTTGTTTATACAAGACTTTTAAAAATTTAATTTGTTACATTTTAAAAATTGGGATCATTCTAATCAAGATTAAAATATGACAACGTATAACATTTAATCTAAAATTATGTATAAATCAGCTTATTAAAAAAAGATAAATATTTTTGGTTTCACATTTGTAGCGAGCTTATTAATTATAGTATCATCATTCTGAGTTGACTAGTTCTACGGGTATGACGGAAAAAAACGCGGGATATGTACCAAATATGGAACCAATGATAGAGTTATTGAAACGTTACACACCGAATGAGTTGACAAAAATATTTGATCTATGATAATATTAAATTTTAATGAAATCATACGGAATTTAAGCGCAGGATTTAATTGGTTGTCCACACTGGGCGACAAAAAGTTCGATACTGTAATCCAGTTGCTGTCAAATAAGATGGTACGTGTCTTGACCTTAAAATCTAGAAGTTGTGAATAATATAGCTTATATAAATTAATAAAGATATTTTATTAAAACCAAACTCCATTTAAGAATATTGGATTTGAAAATAAATCACCAATGCTTTAATAAAATGCGTGGTCATGATAATGATAGTTAATTGGATGATCCAAGCATCACAATTTTATATAACAATAATTAGCTTTATCAACTGGCAGTATTAGAGTCAGATAACAAAATATCTTATACTTATACATGCATCCATAAAATCGAACACGCCATGTACATCTTATGATAGTCAACAAAATACTGAAGCAATGACAAACAGTGGCACCCATAAGAAAAATATCTTAAAGGATAAATTTCATTCAACTTGAAGCTTGGCTAATTATGGCGTCCTACTTAAATACACACCTCTCCTACAAGGAGGTGTTTTGATAATTTTGTCTAGGATGGTCAGCAGTGTAACCAAATGTCGTAGTGAGGTTTAATAAAAAAATTGTCATAAATTCAGAATGGACAAAATACTCTGGTTGACGCTAGAATAATCATCAGCCACACTCTAGAAACGGCAATAAAATATGAAGTAATAAATTGCTACACCAATCACACTGGTAGGCAGGGACCTTCTGTTAAATGTCCACGAAAAGCGTACGTGTCCACATTTGAATGTTATGTATACATAATGATACCAAATGCATGTGACCTGGTGATATCATAGAAACGGCAATGTGCCGTGATGGTCAACACAGTATAATTAATGGCTGTAGTGAATTAGATTGAAATTTTGATAAAGAATGTATGATAGAAGTGGTTGATTAAGGAAGTTGGGAAAAAAAAAAAAAAAAAGTTGAGAAATTGACGAAGACTAGGCCATGCTTTGAAAGCTCAATTTCCTCCAAAAGATTTATCTAAATGCAAATTTTGTCGCCAGACTTTTGTTCTTGCTTTAGCCATGCATGTGCGTATGAGCAAACAAACATTCAAGCATACAATGACAACAAAATTAAACAGCAGCACCAATAGGAGATTATGACCTCACCTAAAGTGTTCAAAACCGAGCAACTATGTGCTTCCCATAAGTGTATTTCTTCAGAGCCGACAATGAACCTTTATCGATTGATCAATGCTGCCCGTTGTATTCATACATTTTCAAGAATTTTTACCACATAGAAAATTGGTCCTTCATCAATCTGATACATGGAAATTCAGAACTCAAGAGTCAGCAAAGAGAAAAAAAGACATACCTCAAAAAAGGCAATGACGTGAAAGATAATAGTAGAATTTGTAAATTACGAATAAATTGTCTCACCAATAAATTGTCATTTTCTTGATTGCCCATAATCTCCTCAATCAATAGCTCCCGCTCGAGCAGATCACCATACTCAAAAACTTCTCAACAACATTTGATGCATATTTATGTGACTCAACTGTACAATTTTTCCAGCCACCTTGCTGATAATTTGGCTTCTTCATTGGATTTACCCCTCTCCAGAACATGCTACGAGCAGTATAACCAATTCATATAAAGTATGAAAACCATCAGAGAGATCAGAACATCTTACAAACAAAAAGAAAAGGTGGGTAATTTAGGCAGTAAAAAACTCAGACAAAACATGACTTTGACCAACTAAAAACAGAACCTCATAAAGCACTAAAGACCGGAAGAATAATATGCAAACACACACTAATTCACAAAGCAAGCTAATAAATGTAAAATCAGAATACTATTCAAAGGTCAAGGCTACAATATACTAAAAAAAGGGGGATGACCACAGCAGACTTTTAGAGGGTGCTTTAGCCTTAGTTCACAAGAAGAGAAACCCTTTCCCTTCATCTTGTCACTAGGAAAAAAATATATCAGATGGAGTAGGAATAAAAACTCCTTTGCAAGGCATGAAATTCTCAATCCAACATCAGAGAAGAAAAAAAAATGCAACAAAGCAAAACTCAAAATCCAAAATCAATAAATCCATAATTCAAAAAAAAAAAAAAAAAAAAAAAAAAAATTAATGTGAGTAGAAAAGTCCAAAAAATCTCATTCTAGAGCAAATTTGTCACCATATGTTTGCTCACCAAAAAGCCTGAAAAAGACACTCCACATGCAAGTCTCATATGAACTTGTGCGGGGAACAACGCAGTATATAAATTAGATTTGTATGATGCTGTTAGCCATCAATTAATCTGTCTAGTACAATTAGATATGCAAACCATCTGACAGTAATACCAAATAAATATGAAGAATCATCTACTCACCAACGGTGAGATCATAAGCATTGGTGAATGAAGGCCAACAATGCTAAACTATTAACAAAGTAATGAACTCGGTGGAAAAGCTAAGACAACTACAAGTCTAATCAAGGCAAATAAGATGTGTGATCAACTAGTTCAAAGAAAGAGTTGAGGCATATACAAACAAATAAATTTGTGTTGGAATAAAGAAGCAAAAACACACCATTTATGAGAAACGACTTGTTTCTAAGCACTTAATAGCAGTTGATCTATCCAACAACAATTAAAGATAAGTAAACAGCACAAAGCACACATACCTACCTGGGTAACATAGTTCCCACTGCAGCATAGCAGTTCCAAAGTTTCATCCACTATACATTGACCTGTTGTTCATCGAACAATGCTCCAAAACTCTATTGAAAAGAAAAA